TGAAGGGACAAATAGAAACGATTAATGAATAAATTTTGCGTTTATAGTTTATTATATAAAAAAAGGGAAATTGTAAATACAAAAAATAAGTAACTTTTACAATCAAAATAAAAACATCGTTTATTTAAATGTTTATAACAGAAAGAAAAAGATTGACGTTGACTTCAACAAAATCACCATTGTGGCATATCGATTTGCGTCTTTTCACACAATTTCATTATTGTTTCTTTCATTTCCCTAATTATTCTATCCTTTTCATTTTCATCATTTTTTTCATCATCATTTTTTTCTTCATACTCATTTGATTCTTGATCTATGTATTCGCGCAGACCACATTGAGTGAATGTTGTTGAAGTAGCCAGAAAGTTACCAGATGCTAGTTCCTTCTGTGTAAAGAAGGACACATTTCTTGTTAAAGAGAGGACCAGTATAAACACGCATTCTTTGACAAAGTAAAAATTTGCTTGCCATTTTAACACAATAAATAATGTCTGCAGGATATTCGGGAGATAAAAACATCTGAGAAATAATATAGGAAAAATATTCGAATTAAGTATTTCATATAATCTCTTTGAATTACACACCATGAGACAAAATAGCATAAAAGCAATGAACATTGTAATTAACAGTATCCTAAATGATGTAAGGAATACTTACTATATTAATTGGATCAAAAAAATGTTTAGTTGTATGGAATGACTATAGCTGGAAAAAATGACAAGAAAAAATTGACAAACAAAAACCATAGGCAGCTTTTCACCACTAAGTTGTTGAACTTTTTTATATTTAAGTATTGCGACAACTGCGCAAACTACATGCAAACTCATGTTTACAAAATGAAAATATCTTTATTCTCAGCAAATCATCATAGGCTAAAGCAACTATCGGCGGAATCACCCAAGTGACTATGTTATATAATATGTCATTCAGTAATGGCAACAGCACATTTTTGATGCGCCCAGTTTTCCCTGAAATATTGAAAAACAGGGTATATGCAGGTCGAGTACTGTACACTTCGTGCAGTGAGTATAGTACGAACATAAAAAATTAGAGATTGAGTACAGTAAGTATGATTATAAATTCCACATACCCAACCTAAAAAAGGCATGTAAGTACAATTATCATTATTAAAAATGGTTCGTACAATATTTGCTGCACGAAGTGTACAGTATATACTCAATCTAACACAACTATGAAAAACAAGACAAAAAAGACAGGAAATAATGTATTAAGCATCGCACCATACACATCCCCTTCAGATTTATAAACCACAAGTGGAAGGAAGGAGTGAAAATAAGTGATTTTCCACAAGATAAATTTCAAGAAATTTGATTTAACTTGCTTGTTGGGAATAGATCCTTTGAAGAGAAAATCATTGGTTGACTTATGGGCACAACTCACATAATATCATTATTACATGTACCTTTTTTTATCCATGATATTTTAGATCACTCGATTTGACTGAAATTGTGTCTACATTAAAGCTCTGAACGGTTTGGTTCAGTTTTTCGGTTTACATTTGACCCAACAATTTCAGACATTCTAAATTCGTCGACTGCGCAAAAATATATATAATAACTCACTAAAAAATTATAACAACTTGTAGCTTGGTTTTGGCGAATGTGTCGCAAAGTAAAGATGCTGGAAGGATCCTGTTTCTAAATATATACAAAGTTTATAATTTTTATATCATGGTAGCAAAGGTCCATTCCTTATCAAATTAGAATGGAGGCCATGATTGAATTTTATCCATTTCACATATAATGCCATGTTTAAATACAGCTGGTCAGTTATAGGTCTGATCATTACATATTCATAGATGTATCACGCTTGGTATTAGATTAACATCAATACCAATTCGAACTACCTCTTACGGGCATTTGGTCAAAGAAGTTGATTATTAATTCGTAATTTTTTGCTCCTGCCCACATTTTAAAAAAAATTTCTTATTTTTTTTTTTTTACACTATAAATGTTCAATTCAAAGAGTCCTTTGAGTGTTTTATCTTTTTTTCAAGAGTATTCTGATATTTTTTTAATATATATTAATATTGATAGTATTGATAACTGCTTAATATATCTATTTTACCAAAATAAAAGAGTCAAATGATAATAGTTAAATTCATAAAGTTAGATGATCAAGATGAGTCTTTGTTAAGTGATCCTCCTATTGACCCTAAGAAGTAAAAAAAAAGACGTTATTACATATTTACAATACAAGAAAAAAGTATTGATATTGACAAAAAACAATAGAATTGTAAATTTTTCTGGCCTAGAATCCCTGATGCTGACAGAAGACAAGCTTCTCAACTAATAGCAGTAATTGCAGAGTTGATAAAATAGTTGAAAAATTTATATTAAACTTTGGCCGAAATTTCTTTGGCAAAGTATTTCTCGCTTGAGAAAAAAAAATCAATTGCTCAAAAGCATAGATTTTTAATAAAATTTTGAACAAATTCTTCGAAATTTTTTAAGCTCATAATGTAATTTAACTGAAAGTCCCTGTGGCAAAATCATCAGTCTTTATAAAAAAATGTACCGTTACTACACTGAAAATTTTTACTATAAAGACAACGAATATTCGATTTTTATGGTCTATCAGAACGTTCGATTCGACAGGCAGGCTATAATATTAATAAAGTTTACTTCAGCTTGTTTGATAGGGCTTTGATTCTTTAGTTTTAAATAGTAAGCGGTTTGCTTGCTATTTTAAATTCTTTCGTAATTCCATTTAATGCTTAACTCTTTCCCAGGAATTGTTAATAAGGACTGACTATTTACTTGATGGAGTAATTTAGTAACGTTATTTTCTCTAGTGTCGTTGGTTAATTAGTGAGTATTAACAACGGTCAGTGAATTATTGTCAATTGGAAACATTGGTGTGTTATTTAATCATAAACGCAAGGCTGTTTAGCTTGTTTTGTAAGTTTGAATCAGCCAAATATATATAAACAAGAGCAAATAATTGAAATAAATTGGTCACAAGTAAATAAAGGAACTTTACAGAAGCCTTTGAGTTTTGTAAAAGAGCCATATCTGTTTATTTACATTTATCTGGTACCATTAATTTTGCTCACAGGTTCGTTGAAATTTTCTAGGTACAAGGAAGAGGCAATAAGCGAGAACCAAAGTAAATTCATAAACTAATTAATTGACAAATACCGAGTCAATTGACGAGCGTAGCCCAAAAGTCAAACCATAATCGGCTATACTTGTTAAATGGTAGGATTAATTGTTCTAATTTGTCATTTTTTACCATAACTTTTATTTCAATTAAAAAAAAAAGCGAATAAGTGTATAAAAACAAATAAATATATAATAATAGTTTTAGATAAAAAATTTATCCAATAATATATTTAAATCCGTTTATCAACTTTAAAGTTAATATAATAATTACTATTACCAATAATTGGTTATGAGAAATTCAGCCTTATCTATTATATCAAATGGTCATCTATCTGGATCAGTATTCATATATTTATAATATTAAAGTTTTTGGTGCATTAATTGAAAACCCAGGTCTTCGCGTATCTTGATTGCAAGATCTCTATTATGAAAATTGTATATGTATAATGCCTTTGTATAGGGTTTACCATTTAACACTTATAAGGGAGTACTTCAGTTTACACTATTCTTATTTCGATAATCCCAAATTTGCAACAGATTACTTTGAAGAATACTGTCACGATGAACGACACTTTGTTCATGAATATCTTCTAAACCAATAATAAAAAAATAAAGCATTTCAATTTTTCCTCTCCATATTAAATTTTTAAATTCTTTTGTTAAATAACTTGTGAGACTTTAACTCTTCATTTGTAGCTCCAGAGTCGCCAATGTATTTAATATCATGAACAAGTTAATCCTGTTTGCAGTGAACTTTATTTGCTTCGCCAATTTATTTTTTATAATTAGCTACTCACTACAATGAACTCGCGTCACGGTGGTAATTGAATCACGTTCTAAAGAAAAACTGTGAATTTAAATATTTAACAAATTAATTCAGTAACTTTGGAATTATTTTTTGAAAATATATTAACGAAACAATGCTTTTGTTTTTTTTTTTTTTGAAAAGAATGATCAATTAAAACAATAATAATAATTGCTAATTCATAAGAAATTTTCTACTGTAAAACTGATTTAAATGATGCCTACAAAGGATATGGTTATCATTTTAACTTCTGTAGATAAGAAAGAATTTGCATCAATGTAGATCGTAGTGCTCAATTCCCCACGCTTATTGGCATTAGTATTGATCTCATATAGTAGATGAATTTAGGAACAAGATTATTTGCAAATAGTAAGTTGATTATAAACACTCACCCGGAGAAAAGAGATATTGATAATAAAATGTTTAGGACAGTAGTTATACCTCAAAAAGTGGGGAATTTGTGATCTTCAGTGCACCACGAGTGACTAGAGCTGCAGACATAATTTTAAGTTAAAGAGCCGGTTTATATTCCTTTCCTATGGAGAATCAATATATATTCCGAAGAAAGTTCCCGGTTAACTTTTATATGTAAATAAATAATTTTTCTTGTAATTTGGATGTTGATAAATTAATTCAGAAATTACAAATGATCAACTAATATCATTATTGTTTATATAATCAAAAAACTGGAATATAATTTTTTACAAGTATTAATGTATGGTATGTATCTATAATATAAAAAAACCTAAAAATACAATTGTCAATTAATGAATATAAATATAATATACAAAAACCATCATTTTCCATTCCCAACATAAATTAACAACCAATCAACTATTCCTATTCCACCACATATCCAAAACAGTGCTCCTGCTAATCGAATTCCTAGTAGTACGTCTCAAGAAATTATTTAAACTATCGACACCATCTGCAACAACACCACCAACAATCTCAGAAACTGAAGAAACAGACGAAATCGGTCTAGAATGTGGTGTCATTATTGACGATGATGATATTGATGTAATTGTGTTGTTGTTGTATGTGTTGTTATTGTAATTGTTATGGTTTATGGATTTTTGATGTAATTCATCAACTAATTTTTCATATTCATTTGAAATACGTGGCGTTTGCGATAATGAAGAATAATGTGGTTCATCAAAATTTGCTCGAGCCTGTCGAAGCTCTTCGAGAACCTTTTCATGAAATTCTATTTGTCCATCTAGGTATTGTCTAGTAACTTCACGAAAATCTTGAACTCTTTCCTCATGTATTCGATCAACTTCTGCTAGTGTGACATTAAACACAGTGTCACAACGCGATTTAACTGTTTCAAGATCTACCTCCTATGTTTTTATTAATTTTTTATTTAAGCTTTGATAAATTTTAAATTAAATTTTAGAAAATTAAAATTATTACCTCCAACAATTGATGATTTGCATTTTCATCAGAAACTTCTTTAAACTTCCTATATGTTCCCGTATGCATATCAATCAATGGCTATATATTTAGAAACAAAAGAGAAGTTAATTTAAGCCTCCTCCAAAAAACCTATTAAAATCTGTGAATTATAGTACCTCATAATTACTGGCAGGATAACTATAATCTTTCATATGTTCTAACCATGGCATACAAGTTTCGTTTGACTTTTATTTAATAATAATAAAAGAAGATTATTATTAACTTAGAAAAAAAAAGAATGTAAATATTAATACTAACTACGATATACATACATATGTTTCATATATGTTAGCTATTGATTGCATGCTTTCCGCAATTGATTGGAGCGCCTTTGTGAGACTAAGACAAGCTAATTAAAAATAAAAGTCATGGTTAATTTTTTTTTTTGGAGGAAGGGAAAAAATCAAGTATTTTTATTGTTTTAAAATATTTATTATTAACCTTGACAACCATCTCTCCAACACCAAGCACCTTCTTCATTCAACATTTCATAACCTTCTCCCAAATTATGACCAGTAATAAGTTTTAATAAAGCATAACTAACTTTACGATATTGTTTTTGCATTTCTATTAAATAATAAATTAAAATAAATGTTAGATTTGAGATATGTTAAAGAAATAGAAGTTTTTTTTTGTTGTTCTTACCATCGACAGAATCTTTATGAGATTGTGATGCCTCGTTAATAAACGGCATAAGCTTTTCCATTGCACGTGAATGTGCTTCAAATCTTTCAATTGTTTCAACATCTCTACATTTATATGCATTTTAAACATTGTAAATAAATAAATAAATTGTCTTATTTTAAAAAAAAATAAAAGAATATCATTTATTTATTATACCCATCGTCGACATTGTATTCTGGATGATAAACATGTTGAAAAAATACATGTCCAATAATCTGATCTGATTCAAATTGCTTTTCTCGTTTATACCATTCCTAAGAAAAAAAATTTTTTTGAATTAATTACTACTTGGATAATTAATTAATTGACTGATTGATTAATTAATAGATAGTTATATTATATACAATACATTATCATTCTCACAACTCAAGAAATGCGTAAGCAGATCAGAATAGCGAATTACTGGATGTCGAGCTAATCGATTAATGTAACGTTCTAAAGCACGTCTACGTTTTTCAACAAATTGTTCATTAAATCGCCCTAATTAATCAATAAATTTAATTAATTAATTCACCATTACTATTGCCATAGAGAATAAATGTTATTATAATGTTTACCAGCATATTGTTTTTCTGGAAGTGGTGGTAATATGAAGGCACTAAATTTTGCTGCTAAATGTCTATGCAGCCATTCAAATTGGCTAAATCTTCTTTCGACTGTGACCTGTGCACCTTCTGTAAACTAGGATAAAATTAATAGGTTAATAATAATAGATTAATGGGTTGTTATTATATAGTCTGCTATTATAAAATACAAAAATTTAATTTGCGACTTACTAATGAAGTGACATAAAATATCGTATATTCTTGAACACCGCCAAGTTTTACTCTTTTTTCTGGGTTATGGACTAATACTTTAAATGTTGGTGCTTTTTCTTGCCAGCTTGGTCCACTCTAATAAAATTCATAAATAAAATTTATAAATTTCACCATTGTAATAATTTCAAGAATAATTATTAAATAGTCATAGAAACGAAACCTCAATATAATGTTTATCAGATTCGGTTATTTGTTCTTCATCTTCATCTTCAGATCTCTCTATTTGATGATGATGAACATTGTCATCACTACTATGATTTTCACTTGTTAACAATGGTTGGCCACCACTTAATATAAATTCTTCTACACCAGTTGTCACAAACCAACTAAACCTATTCAATTGTCTTCTACCCAGTATTGTACTATTACGCGCTGATGATGGTGTCGTTGTTGTTGTTGATCCATTTACTATTACTTCTGTTGTCGTTGATAATGGTGATGACATTAAAGTTGTTGAATTGATGGAATCGCTATCAGATGATAATGGTGGAGGTGAACTTGATAATAATGGTGGAGATAAACTTGATAATGACGATGATGATGGTGAAAGTGGAGTATTATGAAGTTCTGTAAATTCGGTGGTAAACTAAATCATATGCGTATATATATATATTTGTATGTAAGTGATTGATAATTATAAAAAAATTAAAATTTGGTTCTTTTTTTTTAAAAAAGAAAAATATTTACTGTTATATATGATTCAGGTACAAGACCTGTAATACCATCTTTTTCAGCCAATGACCATCCCTCTGCCAAATTTTCCTTTAAAACATTCAAAACGTCCCCTGCTTTAAAAGACAATTCGCGATACGATGCTTCACCACTGAAATCATATAATGCTCTAGCTTCACGACCAACAGGCGGTAAATAAATCTCTGATGCTCTTGGCGTACTAGTATTTTCTCCATTCACATAATAATTATTATTCTCATTCTCATTATCCTCGTGACTACGATCAATATAGCTTTGTTCTCCTCCTTCTTCATATACCTCTCCTTGTTGTCGTCGTTGATGGTTTTGTTCTATTGGTGAGCTTTGTGTTGGTGAATCTGTTAAGTTTGGAGAGTTTAGTAACATTTCTGAAATGCTGGTGTTTGTTGTAATAGTGAGGGTAGAGGAGGTGGTGGAAGAAGAAGAGCCATTTGTAATAATAGAGTCTGTTGAATTTTTTGAATCGGTTGTTATAGAATTCAGAGAATAGCTAGAATTGTGTTTTTGAGCACTTACAGAAAGTCTTGCAGGTTTCGGTGGAACTGTTGGGCGAGGCTTAGTAAAAGTTGTAGACATGTTTATTATTATTATTATTATTTAATTAATTAAAAAAAAAAGAATTAAATTAAATTAAAACTCTAAATTAAAATTAAAATTTTTTTGTTAAATTTTGAATTAAGAGAAATTAAATAAAAAAAATTATTCACACAAAAGGAATCCAATCTATTTTTATATATATATGTAATAATAATAAATAATAATAAATAAAACCTCCTTAATACCCATTACCAAAAATTATTAAACGATATCCCCTTCACAAAATCTTTTGAAAGAAATTAAATCGATAATCGTTACACGCGTATGTCACAAAATACCCATGGACAATGATTTAGTTTTTTGTTCAAACCCGAGTTTTATTAGCCTTTATTTTTTGAACATTACATTTTCTCTATGATTTTTCTAATAAAAATTTATTTATTTTAAAAATATTTCTATAAAAACAAAAACCTTTTTTTTTATAATTAATTAAATATCATTAAAAATATTCTTTTTTTCTTAAAAAAAAAAAAAAAAAAAGGAAGAAACAAGAAAGCAAATCTAATTGTAACGATAATAATAAATGTAAAAGGTTGAAATTTAGAACACGAATAAATAAGTAAAAATTAATTTAATTAGTAATTTTAGAGTAATAATAATAATTAATAATAAATGATAATAATAACAACGACAAGAGTTTGTCTAAGGTTTTCCAGCGATATCAGTGTATTTGGATGGGTCAATTTCAAAATATTCAGCCAAAAATATTCTAAAAACTGAATTTAAGTTGTACACAGTATTTGGATCAATTGCTGTAAAATTATCCTACAAGAATCGGAAAAATGATTTTAATTAGAATGTAATATTAATTATAAATAGACATTAATTACGAGTATCATCATCTTTTAATTATCATCTCCTCTTTCTCACAATAACACTTACGTCTATAGTGTGCCAAACTTCAGGAAACGGATAAGCAATTAAATGTAATACAGGAACACCTCTTTGTAGAAATGGCACATGATCATCTTCAATGTGGGCTTGATAAGTGGTCAAAGATGTGATATCAAACATCGAGCTTTCCTCGAAGTTATCATCGTCATCGTTATTCACTGTATGTGTATGTGCAGGCTTTTTCAAGATTTTTAAATCATGCAACGTCTCTTCTATATCAGCCATTGCTCTAAACATCCAAGATGTCGTCTGAAAGAAATTCACCAAAGTTGGGTTTTTTGCTCCTAATAGATCCAACAATATGAATGTTTCTATTCCATCCAACAACGAATTTGATTTGAACGGTTGTGCATTTTTCAATGTTTCAGTTTCCCATTTTGCTGCTAAATGCCTTTTAAAAATGAAAATAAATTTTAAAAAGTATTATTTATAATTTATCATTAATTCTCCCCACGCCCTCTCTCTGTCTACTCACTTTGAGCCATATAATGAATCAGTCGGAGTCCACGTTTTAAATGATTCTTCGCCATCAAAAAATATCATTTGGAGCGTTGTAGAATTAGCAGTGTCATTTTTCTTTAAGTATGGATCTATTCTATCGGCCAGATCCATCAACAACGCACAAGACAAAGCCGAGTCAGTTGCACCAACGTATTCATCATTAGGTGTTACATAATATTTAGTATCATAATGTGCTGCCATCACCAATCTTTTAGTTGCGTTAATGTTGTTGGTCGCTATAATATTATTAAATTGTATCTCTCCTATTGGTGTAATATCATTAAATTTGTCTTCTTCTACGTGCCAGCCAAGATTCTGATAATGGGCGATTATGTACTCTCGGACTTTTTTATTATTTGCTGTACCTGATGATCTTGGAATCAAGATTGGTCTCAAATAATCCATAACCTTGACATTTTGTGCATCTGTATAGTTTGCAAATAAATTGTATCCATTGTCTGTCAATTTGGTGTATGCGTTTATGAAATCTGAGAATAATAACGACATTAAAATACTTAGATTTACAAGATGAAGGAACTTTATTATTATCATTTTTGTAAATTAAATTATTATTAGGTTCGTAAAGAAAATATAGTTACTAAAAAAGAAGAAAAATTTAATGATATTACAC